ATTCCTGATCAGGCAGGGCTGAGAAAGTCAAATGAATTGGTGGCTTATCATCAACTCCCTGATTCCTGCTAATCTCTCTCCACTCCACAGGTATTAATGACTTTCTGTCCTTTTGGATGGTCTTTATGTTTCACTATTCTACCCTTTCTTCTGTAGTCGTGCTCTCTGTTACCCATTCCTAGTGATGTCACTCTTCTTTTTCACAGCCCTGCAGACTGTCTAGCTCTAGCTAGAAACCTTAACAGTTTGGTGTGGTGATATTAATTCAGGTGTAGAATGACTGACAGTAAAGTATTGGAGGCACTGTCAGAATATTTAAGATTTTGTTTATGAATCTGAATGAATGAGATACATATTTAATTATGACTACAGGACTAATGACAAGATATCTTCTGACTATTTCTTGCCTAGTTTGTTGTGGTTTTTTTAAACAGTCGCAGATAGCTAGCAAATTAGTGTGCATTCCAATAGTTCTATTTGTTTTTGCTTTGATCTTAAAGTGAATAATATAACGCTAGTTCCCTAGCATATGGGTAAAGCATCTAGTTTCTCCTGAACTGGACAAATAGGTGTTGTTATATGTGATGATGTGCCTGCACCTCCCTTTTCAAAATCCTAGATCCATCTGTGCTGGGGAAAGGCACCTCCTTACCAGTCAGCAAGAGGCAAAATCAGCCTGCTTCTTAAAAGCACTGCCAAGGCCCAATATTTCCCTCAGAGGGGCCTGGGAAACAGGATTTACTTTCCATGAGACTGTGTGACATGTCTAAATTAGGTTTGGCTCTGAAGGAGCAAGAAAAATCTTTTTACGTATTTATTTAAGTTGAAATCTCCAAAGCTTGGGACTTAGAAACAGCAAGAGGCACCACAGTGCTGCTCCTGCCCCATGACTGGGTAGCATCAACTGTATGATGCATCAAAGGCCCCCTCTACACCAGTGGCTCTCAACATTTTTTGTACCAGGACCCATTTGTAAACACTGATGGCCAGTCCTCACCCAGTGCCCCTCACTCCTGCCCCCTGCCCCCAGTGTGTGGGCAGGGGGTGGGTGTGTGGGGTATGGAGGGGTGTGTGAGGCGGGGGGCGAAGGAGGGGAGAGGGGCAAGCAGCCCCTCCCAGGCTCAAACTCTCACAGTCTGCTAGGGAAAAGCCACAATTTCCCACATTTTTCTCCTCTAAAGAAGAATCCATGTTTAAAGTTTGTTTGTGACCCTTTCATATATTCCTGGGACCCACTTTTGGGTTATGACCCATGGGTTGAGAAATGTTCCTCTACACATTACAGCAATTAACAGCTAGCAAATTAGTGTGCATTCAAATAGTTCTTTTTGTTTTTGCTTTGATCTTAAAGTGAATACTATAACCCTAGCTCCCTAGAATACTGGGAGAGAGCATATTGGGCAATTAACAGATTAACTGTGCAGTTAAACTGAGACAAGCTACACGTGCAAAGTAGCTATCACACCATAAAAGGGTCCAACCAAGTTAGATCTCAGAAACGTGCACTAATTTTATAGGTGGTTGCTACCCAGCTTTTAGCATGTGTAGCAGGGTCTCCCCAGTGGATAGGAGCCCAGTCAACTACTTAGCCTGCCAGCTGCACCTTGCCCAGCTGGGACTGGGAGGCCTGCAGCTGACAGGTCTCTTGGCACCCGCAGTGCCCAGGAGGTACAGACCTCTGGGTCCTGGCAGCGGCAGGTCGCAGCTGTGATTTCCCAGCCCTGGGGGTGCCTTGTGCACCCCCACAGCAGCTGTGATATCACAGCTGGGGGGGCACTCCACGGACCCCCAGAGCTGGAAGACTGCAGTGGCTGCAACTTCCCAGCTGTGGGGTGCCTACCACAATCTCCATGACTGGGAGTTCACAGTCCTGCAGCTGACAGACCACGCAGTTGTGCCCTATGTGCAGCAGGAGTCCTGTCGGCTGTGGGGACTTGCAATCCCAGCTGCATGTGCAGGGCAGCGTCCCCTACTCGCCGGCACAGGAGGAGCACGGGACTGATCCTGAGCACCGCCTGTTCCAGCAACAAGGCGTGATCGGAGCTGACGCGGGATCCCAGTCATGCAGCCTGGCGTGGTCGGAGGCCACAAGGGCGTGGATCCGGCGTTGGCTCCTTTGCCAGGGCGCGCAGAGGGGGCCAAGCCATGTGTACTAGGAAGGCCAAGGCGCTGCCCTGGGGTCCTGCCACTCCTAGGAGGATCCCAGTATGAAAGGCATCAACTAAAGGACCTAGAAAGGCCTCAGTTAAAAGGTCCAGTATTAAAGGCATCAATTAAGGGCTGTCGTAGGGAAGGCGGGCACACGAGGAAGCCAAGAGGCCCCAGCCCAGCATCTTCCTCACCAGTAGCAGCAGCACCAGGCCGCCCCACCTCCTTCTCCCTCCGGGCACTCTGCACGGCCTCGGCTGCGCGCCCGCCTCCGGGCACCAGGGGGAGCTCTCACGCCAGCCTGTGGGACGGCGACGCAGCTCTGCGCATGCGCCACCTCCCAGGCTCAGGGGGCGCCGGTGGACCAAGCCAACTTCCGCTTCTGGCTCCTGCCGGCGGGCGTGTACTTGTGGCGTCATTGTGGCGCGCCTGCCTTCGGCGCCTAGTACTCGGCAAGGTCGCGCTTCCGGCGGGGGTGGCGGCGCCATGTCCGACT